ACTCGTCTGTGTTGTGCTTGTAGATATCATCGCTAAGCGTGATATAGTGGCTTGGCCTGCTAGCTGTAGAAACAATCAGCTGATAAAAAGACAACGCGCAATTTTTGACGAAAACGCGCACCGCGCAAGGTGCGGAACGTGCAAATAATAAATGTGCAGGTGTTACACCATACACGCGCACTCCTCGCGCGCTGGTTCTCAAACTGTTGTTTGATGCCCGCATAACCTGCCCGGTCGACTCGATGTAAATAATACGAGTCACCTCCGCTACCCCATGAAACGCTGCCAGAGCGGTAGGATCGTTCAGAGACGTCAAAGATCGCGCTTATATCATCCACCTGGGAAATTCACATGAGATAAAATGTATGAAGAAGATAGGCATCTTCACTAACGTTGCGTTCAGTAACGCGTGCATTGAGAGAGGAAATGAATGTCTTCAAGGAAATAACAATGGCGCCCTCTTTTATGTAAATCAAGAAACGAGGCACAAATAAAAGAAATTCACTGACGCGACTGCTGGAACACATTATTAACCAGCACAACATCCACCTGAGGTGAGCAACTCAGTGACTCTTGGACTAGTCAGCATGTCTCCTTCTTCTAACTCCACCTCTCTTATCGAAAGTCCCCACATCCTACACCGCTTCTTAATCTGCCTTAGCTGCTCTCTCCCCACCTCCGCAGGAGTAGGCATCAGCTCAACTCCGTAGCTTCTGCAGCACGTTTCCAGGCTCGCCTGCACGAGCACATTTCCCACCCCACATCCCAAGTCCAAAAACAAGGAGTCTTTGTGGAGATGTGTAGCAGCAATGATATCCGCGATTATCTGTACGTATTTTCCCCACAAGCGTAGCCAGTTCCTGACCGCCTGCGCCAGGTACGTCGACGAAGCGCAAGCCAACGTTCTGATCGACGCACTCTGTAAGTAGCCATCACTTCAATGACGAAGATCCCTTTTGAACTTTCTGTTGTAGTCTTGAGGCAACTATGCAGGAATCCAGACGGTTTGTTCTGGGCTGGAGATACCGCACAGACAATCTCTGCCGGGAGTTCTTTCAGGTTCGACGATCTGAAAGCGTTCCTCTGCTGTGTGGAGGTCAGCGAACAATAACTTATCTTCCGGGTCCGAATTGATATCTTCTTACAGCAGCAAAATACTTCTATCAACTCCACTGTAGCATCTCTCTGCCAGCCCACGATGTTTCAATTGGCAATCAACTACAGGTCACATGGGGGCATCGTCAACTGCGCTCATTCTGTGATCGAAATCATCACAAGATTCTAGCCCAACACAATCGATAACCTTCAGCCATAGCTACGCGCCATTCGACCCATGTTACTCCGAGTTCCCGGACCGCCGAGTCCAGCAGCTCCAAGCGCAATGAAACGGAACCTTTGCAATCCTCCGGCAAGTGAGCCAAGGTCGATGACACGGACCCCCAGCTAGATGTAACTGTCCAGACAGGACTCTACGCTGCTGAGATATTCGCAGCCAATGACGCAGTCAATAATCTCCTCGATATTGTTGTCGTCGGTCTGTTGTTCTCCCATTTGTTTAATGACTGTATTTTTACCATGGCTTTCGCAGATAATTTTGTCTGGGTCCGGTATCATGATCGGCAGGGCATTAGTCAATGCTCGGGCATCGACTTCATCGACGATCTCCCACGATTCATAGTGCTGTTTTATGCGTTTCAGCGATTCAAGCTCGAGGATTGGGGTCGAAACAAGCACTTCAAAGAAGTTGAGAAGGAAGCTTTGCAGAAACTCAAAATTGGAAACGTGGATCTTGTGCTGCACACCAGCGACGAAGACAGAGTGACTCACTACGGACTGAAAGGACGAACATATCACCAAGAAATCCAAGAAATTCCCGGGAGTCCAAGAAGATTGGATTGTGGTCAAAATCTTCTTGGTAGAGGAGCAACAGATTAGTTAGTCGGACATGTTAAGAAAGGTTTCCGAGATCGCAGAGAAGCAAAAGACCATGGACGACCGTGTTCCTCAGTTTCTTTGGTACCACAAGTTCGAGAATCTCACATCCGCAATCCTGGAGACACTTGGTGTTCCAGAACAGATCAGGGGCAGTCGCGTGCTCTACATCACCGTATCCCGCAAGCTCCGACCCATCATCGAGCTCCAAGGCGAATACCTTTTCAATGTGTGGCGTCAATGTATCTCACATATGTGACTCATTTCCTTTAGGTGGACTTCCATTGACGTAATGCGCAGGTCATCGTGATCTCTGGATGGGAGGAGTGCACCACCAAAATGTCAGCCCTCCCAACATGATGTACTACAAGACCGACGAGGGCGTTCTGATGCGTGTCTTTCGCAGCTACGATTTATCTTCACCGGCGACTATGCAAGGTCCTTAGTGCAACGAGCGCACGGGCACAGTGCTGTTCATGACGCTTGATCTTCTCACCCCAGAGGGTCAACGAGGCGAAGTTGAACATTTATATGGTCACGATCTCGAGTCCTTCGTGTGGGTTCTCGTGTGGGTTTGCTTGCGTTGCAGGAAGGGAGTACTCCTACCACCGGAAACTCGCCCTTTCGATGCATGGGCGACTGCAGGCCCCGAGGCCTATTTCAAGGAGAAGATATGGTTTCTGGATCATTTTCAAGCCGCCCAGGATACATCCAAAGATCTGGAGGGTGGTGTTGTGCTTGGGAGTACTCGGTTTCGATCACCATCGTCATTGGAAGATCAAAATTGTGCGGGAACTATCATCAAAACCAGGAGAAGGTGGAAGTGCGACCACCGAGGAAGGCGCATCAAACGCCGATGATTTTGTCTCCAAAATTACAAATACCAGGACCTGGCGCCGGCCCAGCCAATTTTTCCCGTAATTTTCCTTTTAATTGTTGACGTACGCAAGAACAACTTCAGGACTATGCAGAGGACCTAGATGTAGCGCAGGCAATTGAAGAGAATAACGAAACATTGTTAGTACAGCGTACTCCACTAGCCTTGCTGCAATTATTAAGATTTATGCTCAAGTTAGCGCTCTCAGCGCGGAGCATTGTTAATGCTACTAGTGCTCATTATGAGTTTCCTCCTGAACTAGAAAGCAGAAATGATAGGCGTGGCGGATCTGGGTCTGGTGATAATGGCCACAAGCCGTTGGACGCGCCTCTTCCAAGGGAGAACTCGAGCATTGCACCATCGAGTTCAACCGGAGAACACAACGTGCGCCTGTAGCCCTAAACCATGTGTACAGCTTGTAGTAAGTGAAGATTGAAAGATATATCATAAATCCTCCAGGCCAAGAGCAACATCGACCAAAATGACATGATGTATACTTATCACCAGTCCTTGCCAGATAAATCGAGGCAAGCTATCCACACGGCCGGTGGATATGTCAATGGTCATCTTGATACGACAAGTATCACAGCATCATAGGTATCTTCTTGTGAATTATACTTTGTACATGGCAAAGTCTCCTCATTTTCAACGAACCCCGATATCGATACTTGGCAGATCGTTACTACACAGCTGGGCGTTGAACCTAGACCCTTCAAAACACTATCCTTGACCATTTCGCCGAACGTCTTTATTTCCCCTCGCAGTTGCTAAGCTAGTGCTTCAACAGGCTTCAACCATCCACACTCCGCAAGTCCACTGCGAGTAATTCTGCAGAAGCGGTACTTGCGCAAGGATATCAAGTACGCGTTCCACCTGCATGACCAACGGATTGTGTTGGGGCAGTTTTGCGATGAGTACCCGTCCTATGACTGACAGACTGTACCATTCACGACCTTGTGTTCGTACCGCCATTAATTTCTGGCATGCCGTTGAGATTGAATTTGACACCTGGTTAGTTGTATGGTATTGATGGTGTGATAGATGTGGCAGTCGTGGACGGAAGCGTTGCGTGTAGGGAAACGCACGGGTACGGGTAACACCGCGGTTCATTGCTGACGGGTTTGGCGGGTACGGGTATGTGGTGATCACAGTCGAGCGGGAGCGGAGTAAGAGCTGAGAAAACAATGTATATCTCAGTGTCTAGAAGAAACTCGCGTAGCACAATGTAAAGTACCTGAGAAAACAATGTATCTACGTTTCGTTAGCGATCTGTATAGTAATAAGAAAAACATAAACGGCTTACATCTCAGTGTCTAGAAGAAACTGAGATGCCCGTACGATGAACTCGACACTTTATACGAAGTCAGTATAGTAACGGTAAATGACGAATGGCATAGAGATAAAAGAAACTAATTTCGACAGCCTCGGCCGACGTCAATGCGTCGTCTCGCTGTATGGACTGGTTGCGCTCGTCATGTCTCACTCTGACGTCGCTAGGCTTCCACCCGGTCCGTCGTCCGAACATCCAGAGTCCAACACTCCCCCTCGAGCGCAATCCAGGCTCATCAAGGTTCTCAACCTTTGAAGGCGTGGGCGCGGGAGAGCCTTCGTGAAGGCGTCGGCGATGTTATCCTCGGTAGGGCAATAGGTGAGGCTGAAGGTCCCGTTTTTGACATGTGATCTGACGAAGTGGTAGTGAAGGTCGATGTGCTTAGTACGGGATTGGAACTTGTTGTTCGATGCGAGTGCAATGGCCGCCTGATTATCGCAGTAGATCGGTATAGGGAGAGTGGGAGGTTCGTATAACTCTTCAAGGAGCAACTGGAGGTATAAGATCTCGCGCCCGACAGTAGTCAGGGCGATGTATTCGGCCTCAGCTGTCGATAACGCTATTATGGGCTGCTTACGTGCGCTCCAAGCTACGGGTCCGCCATTGAGTAGCACGAGGTACCCGGACATGGAGTGGCGATGAGCCTGTGACAGACCCTTCAGTCACATTGGATGTAGAAGTGGTGCCCCGGATGTGCCAAAAGGCCGTAGAATATGTCCCAGCCAGCACCGGCCTGGCCAGGTAGATATGTGGCTGGCCGGTTCGTAGAAGTGGGCACGGCCAGTGTACCTTGAACTCTGCTTAGGTACCGAAGGAATGTGTAGAGCGAGAACTGGCCGGCCATGTAGGACAAGTACTGGCCAGCATTCCTACACGTGACTGTACAGGAGTACCGGCCGAGCGCACAGGGCATTTACTGCCCAGCTCAGCCAGGAAGAAGCCTCAGGCCAGCACTCTTATACAATCGTGTATAGGAGTGCCGGCTGAGTGCACAGGGCAGGTACTGGCCAGCTGCCAACAAACAGCCTCCGGCCAGCACTCTTATACAATGGTGTATGGGAGTGCCGGCCGACTGCTGCCAGGAAACAGCCTCCGGCCAGCACTCCTATACAATAGTGTACAAAAGTGCCGGCCGAGTGTACAGGGCAGGTACTGGCCAGCTGCCAGGAAACACAGCCAGCACTCTTATACAATGGTGTATGGGAGTGCCGGCCGAATGCTGCCAGGAAACAGCCTCCGGCCAGCACTCTTATACAATCGTGTATGAGAGTGCCGGCCGAGTGCACAGGGCAGGTACTGGCCAGCTGCCAGGAAACAGCTTCCGGCCAGCACTCTTATACAAGCGTGTATGGGAGTGCCGGCCGAATGCTACCAAGAACCAGCCTCCGGCCAGCACTCTTATACAATCGTGTATGAGAGTGCCGGCCGAGTGCACAGTGCAGGTACTGGCCAGCTCAGCCAGGCCGAGCCCATAGGGCAGGTACTAGCATGTACAAAGGTACTGGCCGGCCATGTAGGGTAAGTACTGGCCAGCCCCACTTATAAAATCAGGTATAAAGTCTTGGCTGGCCTTGTAAACTATATACCGGCCACCCCATCATGTATATTGCTTTGCCTAGTAATATCAAGTAGATCTATGAGTTAAAACAGCAAGAATTCAATGTGCTATGCTAGGTCACTTTCGCATGGCCTTTTTGGAGGGTTTCCTGGATCTGCTGGATCGACGAATATTGTCAGTGGTAGCCTTTTTGGATGGTCTTCCAGATCCCCCAGATTTTCCCCTTTTCTTCCCTTTCTGCACGACGACCTCCTCCTCCTCCTCCTCCTCCTCCTCAGCCTTCTCCTCCTTGCCACGCTGTTCCTTATCTTCCATATCATCCTTACCACCACTGTCCTTTTCGATCTCCACCAGTTTCAACAGCTTCTGGTTGTACTCCTCCAGCTCTCGCTTTCTCTCCTCCAGCTTTCTCATGTCCTCCTGTAGCATCGCCATTTTCTTCTTCTCTTCCTCCACCTCCCACGACTCCTTGTCAAGCTTCCTTGTCAACTCATCTGCCTCCATTTCCGTCCCCTCATCCTCTTTCTCTTCCCTGGTTGAGATGGTCTGAATGGCAGTATCAGCTCCGTGTTCTTCACCAGCAGCAGCCTCAGCAATGGCTGCATGTTGTCCTTCCTTCGCCTTGAGCATCCGCGTAACCCCACCTCTGGCTGTATTGATTGCCTCTATGACGAGGTCGTGGGTCTTGATACTCAAAATAGAGGTGCCAAGGTAAGAGGGGGTGTTCGGGGTAGCTTCGTCCTCCTCATATTCGATAACTCGCTTGCATTCTCTTAGCAGCATCCCAAGACCTAGGCTAACCCCCATGGCTGATACCAAGCCAGAGATCTTGGCAGAGACGACTATCTCCAAGAACTTGTTCAACTCACGCTCGTCTGAGTGCACACTATTCGGAAGGTGTGATCTGTCCCAACTCCATGTCGCCCAAGCGGGCCATTCCATTGCCTCAGAGCTTTGTTCCTGCGTCAAGTGAGTATCAAGTTTCACCAATCCAGGTATTAATCGAAAACGTACCTTTTTCAAGTCACCAAGATGCGAAATCAAAAGCAGATATTCGTCCTGGCTGCTGAGAGACCGTAAGAATGACATCCGATCTTTCTTTGGCACAGTGGCTGGTGTGCGCACGACTTCTTGACCAACTGATGGTCGCTTAACCAGCCCTTTCGATGGAGTGAGATTATCATCAGAGCTATCCTCGGAGCTGTCCTGGGTTTGCGGTCTTGAATTCTTGGTGGGCCTTGTGCTGGCCTTGGGCTTGGAGGACGCCTTAGCCTCGGCCAGCTGTCTTGTACGTTTCATGGATGTAGGCGCAGCTGAAGCCTCCTCTTCATCATCAGTGTCGACTGGTACATACTTCTTTTTAGATTGTTTCTTGCCTACATAAACAGCATTGACGAGCAGGGACTTGTTCATGTGGGAACTCACGGCCCCGACAAAAATAACCAGTTTCTGTTTCGAAGCCTTCCTGGCTTCCCAATGGCCCCAAAGATGGTTTATTTCCTGCGCCTTCAAATGAGACGGGTCTTGCACGACGAAACCCTCAGGGATGGAGTCTGGATCCAGGTACACCAAAAGGTTGCCGGCAATCGAGAGCCAAGGTACTGGCTTTTTGCTACCAGTGAAGACTTCTGAAAAACGGAAATTGAGTCAAGTTAAAATCAACAGATGAAGTGATCAGCGACTCACTGTAAGATGCATGAAAAATTTGCCGAACCAATTCTTGTTGCCCCTTGAGGCCCACTCCTTTACGGGAAGGGAGCTTTGCAAACCCGTGCTCGTCCAAGATGACTTCAGGTATTGCATCTTTTCCATCTTTACTGTCTTCATCGGACGAGTCATCATCATCATTGGTGGGGTCTGATACGCGGTCATTGAGCAGTCTGAACCAATCCCCAAAAATACAGAACTTACAGAATTCTTCCTTCGACCACTCGGCAAATTTTTCAAAACCTTCGGACGTCCACTCTTTGCT